AAAGTCCTCAAATGTCACTTTCCTGCCTTTTACCTCCCCCACCCACCAAGTCTAAAACATGTTCTAGGCCCAGAAATACCCCAGAATCTCCTTAGAAATATTTCTGTGGGGTATCTTTATAGTACAAACAGTGGGCCCAAACAAAGGAAAAAAGGTGCAGTACAGATCTTCTTAAAATCTTAGATTCTTAGCAAAAACCTCCAGAAAACATAATAACCGATTAAGGGGAAAATTGCTATGATTTTTTTTTAAAGTTAGTAGACCTAACTGTTGTTATGAAGAGAAAAGGTTAATAAACCAAGTGTTATGCAGATTTTATTATTTTGCATTGCCTCAGAATGGATCAAACCTGAAGTTACCTGTTCTTGCTGAAAACTGAAAGGAGATGTGACTATGGTGCTTGACTTCATCTGATCCAAAATAAATCTCCCTTTCCTGCTGGAGGCATTTACAGATTAATTACTCTGTAAATTAATTACAGATCAATTGAGAATAGGAGTAGCATAACCTTGTCAAGGGGCGGGTGGGCATATATGGATGTAAGTGCTCCTTCAGGTAACCAGGACCCAAGCCATTTAGGGCTTTATAGGTCATCACCAACACCTTGAATTGGGCCCGGACTTCAATGGGAAGCCAGTGAAGCTGACGGAGGACTGGAGTCATGTGAACATAACGCCCAGTCCCCGTCAGCAGCCTAGCAGCTCTATTTTGAACCAATTGAAGTATCCGGACCGTCTTCAAGGGCAGAAGTGACTGTAAGAAACTATTTCTGCCAGTCTGTTTTCTGACCTTGTTATCTCACTGAAATGTTGAGATTTTTTCTGTTTGTAACACTAGCTACAGAAAGGACCTTTGAAGACAAATTGGGAAATTGTGTAATGAATCTCTATCCCTTATGTTTATTTAAAAGAGTTATATGCTACCCTTCAGTGGAGCTTCCTAGATAGTGTACAAAAACAAGATAAAATGCACGCATGAAATATGGCAACTCATTAAAAGAGGAAAATATGCATTTCCAAGTTAGCAACAAGAAAAAGATAGCTAAAGTGTTTGGGGCCTCTGAGATGAGAAAATAACTAAAAATAACTACTGCTCAGTAAACTCTGGTTGGTCACAACTACTTAAAATTAAGCATAGTGTGGAAATATTGGCTAGACTATAAGAACTCTGCCTCACAATTGAAAACGATTAGCAATTAATCAAACCAAAAAATTGTTATCCTTCACACAATATATAAGTAACGTAGGCATTGGCCCCTAATAATGTGCTGATGGCCACTGACAGACTTTTAAAAGCCTGATTAGAAGCCTTCTTGGAGGATAGACATGTCAGCAGGTACACACTTAGACAGTTAAGTAGACCTTCTGTAGCTGAGACACAGAAGCAGTATGCTCAGGGACAGGCAACAGGTAATATATCCTGCTTCTATGCACTCTGCAAGCCTCTAGCTAGTTGCTGTTGGAAGCCACTGTACTAGATGTAGCTGGCTTTCTCAAGAAGGCTTTTTCTGTAAGTCTTCTAGTAAGTGCATTATTATTATTGTGTTTTGTTACCTTAGGGCAGGGGTCCTCAAACTTTTTCAGCGGGGGGCCCGTTGAAATGAGCTGGTGATAGCCACGGGCCGGAAAGGTGGTGCTGGCAGTGCACACGGGCTGGTGAAGGGGCGGGGGTGGTGCGTGCGGGCGGCGAGACAAGGTGAGGCAAGGCGCGGGCAGGCAGGCGCGCACGGCGGGTGGGGGGGGGTGAATCAGGTGCACGAGGCAGCAGCTTGCTTGCTTGGAAATCATTTTCTCCGAGCAAGCAAACTGCTGCCTCCCTGTGTGTGGGGCAAGGTGGGTGGCAGCAGGCATGTGCATGGGCGCGGCGGGGAGGGTCCAAATGGGCATGGTGGACCGGATAAATGGGCCTGGCGGGCCAGCTCCAGCTCCCAGACCTTAGTTTGAGGACCCATGCCTTAGGGTTTCAGGGTAGTATGTAAACCGCCCCAGCATCCACCCTTTCTTGTTTCAAGTGTAATGACAACCTGTGCTCAGTGAGGGTGATTAAGTGGTTCACCAGTGGGGCGGGAAGAAAGAGGAGGTATACAAGCCCTGTTGTCTGTCAGGACAGAGGAATTTTAACCACAGTGCATGGTTAAAATTCCTAAGGGGTTCAGCATGGTGTGTGAACTCAGCTGGCATGTGAAGAAGAAATCTGCATGGAAGAGAGGGGATAGCAGAGGAAGAATACAACTCCATTGCCAGTTCCCAATCACTTGTCCATAGCTAGGGAAGGATTAGAATTGTCCTTGCACTGACCTTGACAAGCTTCCCACACTGATGAATTTTGAAGCAGAGATGTTTCCAGTTCATGTTCTTAGGACAGTGCTACTGTAATAGCTATTTTCAGATATGTATGAATTCTTGTCATAAAAAAGGTCAAAACTGAAGATGTAATTATTACATATTTAATGTATTCATAAAGGATTCAAGTACTGTTTTCGAGCTTCACATGTGGCATGTGGAAAAGGGTAATAATGTGACACTTTTTGTTCTGTGCTTTCTCCTTTTGAAGAATTATTTCATTCAAGTACTGGCACTCATCAGTCAGTTCATACTTTCTTCTCATTGCATATTGGAAACTGAATTGGACAGAACTTAAGGGAGTGGTGTATATTAATATAATTGATCATTTAAATATTTATATGTAAGGGAAGAACTGAGTTTTAACTTGTTTGCTAAGATACCTAATCATGCCTCTGCAAATCTTTTTAGTCACTCCTAACTACTATGTGAAAGCTGTGATGCAATAGTATAATTGCTGCTCCAGTTCTTTTAACAGAGACAACTCAAACAATTGCAGAAGAATTAAAATGAAAGTAGGAAACTTGCCTCAGGTAGTTCTGACTGCATACAGGATGCTGTACAAGAGAGAGAACGCAGTTCTGCCTCTGCAGTTGTAACCTCATATTGACTTGTTTGAGCTGTGTAATTTACAAGGTTTTTAAATAGGAAAGCTGTTGAATGTAGATGTTTGATTTCATGAGTTGCTCCATCGGCATGGCATTTCATTTGATGGGAAGTGAGGCCACAGCTTGATGCAACTGCACAGGTGGTGCCTCATCTCCAGTGCAAGTGTGGCAGCATTTTTTTTTATTAAAGGGAGTTTCATTTTAATATACATTAATTGTCTTATGTGAGACATATCTTAATTTGATGAAAGCCTTTTGGTGTGCAAATGCAGGGTAGTCTCTCTGCGTTAGTGTAGTTAAATTAAGGGAAGAACAGGTATTAGTTATGCTTTTGATCACTCAGCACTTTTCCCTGTGGAGCTTGCAGCTTTGAAATTAACCATTTAGTTCAGGGATGGGGAACATCCAGGGATGCATCTGTATATTGCTTGATAACTCATAATCCCTCACTGTGCAGCCTAGAGCTGATGGGAATTACAATCCCACCAAGCTCTGGAGGAATGCAGGTTCCTCACGCCAACAGTACAACAGTTCTGCATTACCACAGTTATATTTTATGTATTCATTTAAACTATTTCTTATATTTTTGCCCACCTTTCAGGGAAAGATCAAAACAGTCAGTTAGACCATAATATATTCATGAGAAGAATCTTAAGTTATATCTGTCTTCCTTTCAGTTTCTATGATCATACTTTTACTTGGTATCAACTGTGAGCCTTCCCAATTGTGGAAGCATTTTCTGAAGAACTAAAATAGATTTCACCAAGCTAATATGGCAGTAAGCTGTAGGGAACCTATAATTCCTGATGGATTGCATTCCTGAGGGCCAGCTTCATTGCAGTTAAAGCAGATGATTAGTTGCTTAAAACTACTGCTGAACATCTGCACATTCCTCATTGCACAGCTTCCTGTTACAAATTAAGTGTTAAAATATACTGCTGTACACTCTGTTTTAGTAAATCCTGTATATAATGTCATCATTACTAAGAAATGACTGCAGTGAAATATACTGAATAAAAGTGGAGCCTGCAACAAACTGTGTTGTTGTTCAGTGTTTCATTCACTCAGGCATGCCCTTCACCATGATATTTCATTCTGTTTTTCCCCCAAACAGCCAGTCAATATTCCTGCTTTATCTGGTGTGCTTTTTCCTCCAAAAATCTTTTTATTTTTTGAATTTCTGCAAACCTTGGAGTACCTTAAGCCTGTCTTGTATGTGGATGGTGCTGTTTTGGCTGCATAGGAATTCACACTTACCTCTACATTTTGAAAATAGATAGAATGGTTTATAATCATGTAATAGGGCAAATAGAGCCTTATTAGCAAATTACAGAAAAAGCATCTTGAACAGCAAATCATCTACTGTACTTAATAATGAAATGTACCAGGATCCTGAAAATATGTAGGTTTTGTAAGAATAACAAAAACATTAATGCCACTTTAGCTTATTAGCTGTTCAGGCAGGATATTGGAGGAAGAGTAGGTTATCCAAAAAAGGTAAGTAAATGACTCCAAAGAGTAACATAGTTAATAATGCAAATGTGTAAGTGGTACAACTAATAGCATTTTAAATCACAAGCTATAAAGGGAGTGTGAGTTTTTCAGTGTAGGACTTAACATGACTTTCCTGGTAATTTAGTTCCCCAGCCTGGTGCCCTCCAGAGGGCCATGCTTACTGGAATTGATGGGAATTGTAGTTCTGTCTACAATATCTGAAGGACACCAGGTTCAGGAAAGCAGAGTTATGAGTACATGAAGTTTACCATTGTAAGTTGTATTTTACATTATTTATAAACTGTCTGCACTGCACAAAGGGATATAATTTTAGTATTTGTACATCAAAAGTGTTTTAAGAAATATTATAACATATTAGTAATTTGATCTGGCATTTTTCTTGTGCACACTTAATATGAGAATAAATCCCACTGAAATTTATCTTCAAGAGCTAATAAAAAATCAGTAATCTGTGAGCAAGCAAAAATAGTCCATTACTCTCTCTAAATAAAACAAAAATCATTCATACAGGATTGTTTCTGTCTTATCCTGTTAGGTGTAAGCATGTATCTTTATCTTACTGGAATTCCTATTGGATGCTGCCATCTGATGTTTGTGGAAAGAACTGCTTTTGGGAAGCTGCTCCTAGGTAGGCTTTGACAGAGTTTTAATTACTCAACTAGCTGCTATTAGACATGCTAATAAGTATTTGGCAATATAAAAATGTTGAAGCAATAAAATGTTGGGGATTTTTTCCCTAGCACTCACAGTGCATAATCTTACTAGACTTTCAACTATGATTTAACTTCTTAAACAACACAAGTTTCCCAGTTTGAAATTTTAATGTTTCCTGAAGAGATATGCACACTCACTGGTTGTTATGATTGCTATAGCAATTAAAGCGTGCTGGTTTGTAACTAAAGAAGACCTTTTCACAGTCAAATAAAATCATTCCCAAATATTTCTTTGGTCTTGCAGTTCACATGCATGACAGAATTATGGGAGCAAATCTCTATTGGTTCTCTCTGTAAATATGCAAGGATATTAAGCAGTATCATTTGATATTGAATGGTAAAACTACATTTTGCATGTAGTTCTATTACTGTTTTACCTAACTTTTGTTTAATATGAAGATCCTGCAGGTGGCACTGTGGTTGAAATGGAAAAGGAGCTACTTGTGAGCAAAACATTCATGTACCCTTTTTCTTTCTCCCACAAAGTAGTTCACAGAAGAGGGAGTTTGAGCAGACAAACATATAAAAGGCAGCTTCCTTCCTTCCTCATATGTCCTCCATTTAGTTGAATACCATCCGATGACACTGTTTGGAGCTGCAGCCTCCAACAGTCCATCACTTGCACTGTAATTTGGATAAGAAAAGAAGTAGTATGCATTTCTCCAACTATTTATTCCCAGATGAGGCAAATTCATGGCTTTATCTGAAACATTCTGTCTTTGCTAGTGGGCTTGAGGAATTTGTGCTGAGATCAAAAAGAGACTTGGCTAGTAAGCTTGTGAACCATCATTCAATCTACAAGTTTTTTCAAAACAAGGGCTTGTAATCCAGGAAGCCCTCTTACACATTGTAGAACTTACTTGCAGGTAAATATGGATATAATTGAGCTGTCACTGCCCAGAAATTGCCAGAAGCAAGCTGGTTGCTACAATGCAAAATAGTGTTTCTCCAGCTGTGCATTGAGGAAGTCAAGTAACTCAGGGCATAAAGATATATTAATCATGTTTATTATCTCTTGCTTGTTTATTATCTTATTGCTATAAGATGCCTCGGTCTTAGGGTCTGTAATGACTTATTAGCCCCTGCTAATAATACAATAATTGTATTATTAAATACAATACCTTCTTTGGAGTTTGGTTAGCCTTGGAATTGTGCACTTCCCTTTCCTTCTGCCGCACAGCCATGAGGAACGAATGAAAGTTTCTACTTCAGTTTTCAGCAAATCTAAGTGTTACTTAAAAACCTTAAATTATGGCTAATGTTATTGATTGTTTCTTGAAATAAACCAGCTTTATATACCACAATCTGTTCACTTTCAGACATACTCCAAAATTTCAATTTTTTAAGGTTGGGAGCCAAAGCTAATCTTGTGCCCACAGGCAGAGCATGCTTGGCAGTTTTGCACATGAGAACCCCCAAGCAGGCATTTGATATACAAATCCAGCCCACTGGGTTATAGACTTACCTTCAATCTTGCCTTGAAAGTAAGATTTATCCCCGCTTTGTCCAGTGAGGTGCTGTTTGGTGTTACAGGAGAAAGCTTGCACATTCCCTCCTCTCATTTGGTTTTAATTTGCTCTTTACTCGTTAGCATAGTTTACTGTTACAGCCCAAACAGCAAATTATGGTGTGCAGGCTGGTTTTTGATATTCTTTTGGATGTAATGAAAAATCATGGTTTTGTGCTAAAGCAAAGCAAAGGAAGAAGAGGGCACACAAACACACAGTTGATTTAAGATCCTGGTTAGAACCTTCAGAACTTGGTAGCCATGGTTTCCCAGTTTGGATGTAATAGAATACTGTGGTTAACTGAAGACGTCCTAACTTTTTGATGTGCACCAGATAGGGAAGAGGCAACGGGAAGGCAGATTACATATTCAAAGGCTTGTGCATAACTTGGCTTACTCATTGGCAAATAATTGTAGGAACTGGGCTAATGTGTTTAATGCATAGCTGTAACACCTTGAAGACTACTCTTTAGATTCATATTTTATTTCAAACCATTTTTTCTCAGAAACATTGTGACATTCTTTTTTAGTGATTTTGAAGATCAAAAATAGTACTTTGCCTTCAGTGTAGTGATAAAATATATAAAACATAAAATGTTGAACTTACAGACTTTGTATAAGAATGGAATGCTTAATTCATGCAGTGGTAAGATAATTTGCTTTAATAGAGCATCTTCTTATACAGTGTGCATGGTGTATGTGAAAATATTTAGTGTGTTACACTATGAGAAAGCAAGAATATATTGAGAACCGACACATTGTTCCTTTGTTGCAGTGAACTTTATTTGCAGTTCAACAGAAAATTTCTTGCATTTGCTTCTTGATGTTAAGCATTATGCTACAGTCTTGGTACACTACAGCTTTAAAAATGTCTTGGCTGAGATCCAAAGAGCCACATTATTAGTTCAAATCCAAGAAGGTGTGTGATTCTTAAATAGCAGAACACTGTGTCACACCACGGAAAGTAGTGAAGCAGGGCAGAAATATGTGGTTTTCCACATTTTTTTCTGTTTCATAAGGAAGGTCACTGGTGAAAATGAATGTGCATTAATTGCAAATATGATGTTAGGCAAATTTAGTAGTTTCAAAGTTGTAACTAATGTTTTTCAAAGGAGTATCTACAGGTATGTGAAAGAATATTCACATGCCATTCAAATACATAAACATTTCAGTGACAGTAAACTAGGGACAGTAACTAGGGGCAATAAAACTGAAAGTGTCCAAGAAAACTAGATGAGGAAAGTTGAAATAGGGAAGTGTATATCAGCATAATCTTGCACAGATCTTTGGGTTCCTAATATTGATAATATTGCTAACCCTAAAATTGCTAACCCTGTTGAATAAGTGTTTTAACAGTTTTAACTTCCTTTTTTCCCCCTCAAAATTTAAATAATAAACTCAGAGGCTTATGGGGATCAAGTGCAGAGCTGGAGGAACAATGGAGGCTAGTACCCATACTTCTCATCTACATTTTCTCTAGATTGGCTTTTTTGCCTGTCTCACTATCTTGAGGATGGAGGAAGAAAGAAGCTGGACTTCAGGGTACCTATTATGCTAGCCTCACTTTCCCCCTTTTCCTTTTTACCTGTCTCCATTACATGACCACAAAGGCACCTGGTGCAATTCTTTCTGGGCCAGCTGTGAGGAGTTGGGGGAAGAGTTTTGAGCTCCAATTGCCAGGTCTGACCTCAGATTGGGGAATCCAAGTAATCTTATAGCCCCTCAGACACCTCTTAAGGGGTCATAGAATCACTCCCTAACAAAAGTATGTGGCATTGTCTATAAACGTTTACAAGTATTCCAATGAAATGTTCTGTATAATATTGGATGTAAGTCATATCAGTTGTACATCAATTTCTTCTCAAATATTTCAGGCCAAATGTGGTTGTTTGAGACAAAAAATAATATTATCTAGTTCTGTTTTAGTTTTGTTATTTAGTAAATGAAAGCAAAATAAGAATACCAATGATTAAAACCAGAAAAATTTCCTATGCAAATTAGCCTTATTTTCATTTAACATTTTCTCAGGTCAAAATGTACCAGAAAACCCATATCACTGATGTAAAACATATTCAAAGCAGTTTCTAGTATGCCAAGAGGATTTGCTGTGTAAAGAAAAAAAGTATTAATAATTATGCTAGGCATGCCTAATCTCAAAGGCATACTTAAAATATCTCTTTGGATCCCAGCCTGTATGTTGATTATTGCTGCTGCCCCATATCACGTAGCAAATATTTCACAATAGTTCCTAAGTAGCTGATAGTGGACTTTTGTTACTTGGCTTGTCACATCTCCAAATGGCTGAATGTTTCAAGGGCAGCTGCTGGAGCAGCTGCTTCCCTGTAAGGAGAGAGGACAGGAGACTTATGGTGTGTTGTGATATCTGTTTATTTTCCGGGTGTGCTGATCAAGGGGAATTGGAGCGGAAGCCAGGCAGACAGTAGTAGACTATAAAACAACATAATTGTGAACAAGCTTTTTTCCTACCTCAAATGTTATTTTTCTTGTAATGTTAGGTATGGCTCTGTTTCATTGATTGCTGGTATTTAATCTGTTTTAAATACTATTGTACGCTGCCTTGGGAGTGGGAACATATGTGAGTAGTAAATAAATAAAACAACTCTTTTTAACCTGGTGTTCATATTTATGGCATTCCACTGGCATAGTTCCCTTTAAAGCACAAGTCATTTTGCAAGCCTGACATCTTATTTCCTTTGACTAATCCAAGGGCGGACAACTTGTGCATCATTGGACTTAAGCTCCTGTTATCCCTTTGCATTGGTTATGCTGGTTAGGACTTATAGCAATGACAATCCTAACAACTTCTAGAAGGCCACAAGTTGGCCAAACCTAGATGAAATCTATTTTACAGCCAAATCTATTTAGGAAATAGAGAAAGTTAAAGGAGAAGAAAAAGGGTCAGAACCATTTGCTTCCATTCTGCACTGCTTCTTGGTTATGTTACAATTTCTGGCCACTCTGATGATATATCAAGGTTTATTTTCTTCAGGCAAAAGCATCTTATTTTGGCGGTGAGGAAGGGGTCTGGCAAACATAGCTGGTCTAGGACTAGCAAGGACACCTAAAGAGAGGATTCAGCGGCTACGTACCTCTGCTTCAGTGGTCTGTTCAGCAGGATATGAGCACAAACAGGACTTGATCCTTTTCATCAGGCGTCTTTACCCTACTACATAACTACCTCTAAAATTCTTGTTAGCAAGAGTTTGAACAATAGTTAAGCCAGATATCAATTCACTGCTTTCATACTATGGGACAAATCATTTTTTGTTCTTGGATCCGCTGCAGTGCAACTGTACTGTGTTGAGATGCTTACATGAAGCAGTACTGGAATGCATTTCTTCTTCTCAGCCTTATCTGGCATAAGTAGAAAATGGTAGGAATTAATTTGATTTTAGCTTATAATGAAAGTTTGGAAAGATCTTCTTAGTTTAAAAAGGATGATTGCTATGGACCCTTTTGCACAGAATCCAGATCTAACTTCTAGTGCTCAAATCTTAGTAAGTACCTGCTGCTGCAGTTTGATCTGGCTTTGGACTTATGTACACATTTCATCACCTCTCATTAATAGTTTTCATTTGTGTTAGTATTTAATTTACATCTTACAACTTAAGAATTGATTCTGTCCTGAAATGTCAAAGAACTTGTCAGACTTGAATTCTCATTAGAAATTATTCATAGAGGTTTTGTATGACTGCATTCCATATCTTGAGATAATGTTCATGCAGATTTTATAGTCCATTACTCAAGACTGTTGTTTAAACACAGTATTATTGAATGAACTTTTAGAATGTATAACTATTTGTAAAAAAATGAGGTTGAAAATATGGTGTGTAAGTATGTTATTTGTTGGGGGCAGAGAATATAGGTTGTTACAGCATACTATATAAAAGAAATTCTCAACAAAATCTGATTATTTAGAATTAGTGTTCTTTCTGAAGAATAAAGGAACAAACAGCATCTAGTGAAACAATGAAAAACTAAATTTAGAACAGTTCGTAACATTTCTCTTGATATTTATAATACTATGTAAAGTTATCTCAGATCATAATATAATTGCATGTAAGATAGAGAACACAACTTTTGCAAGTAATATTATTTTTAAAATGCAATGCTATTTTTTATATTTAGCTTTGTCCCTTTGGAAACCATTACTACTTGTATTCTTTGTATTAGATACGATTTTCTGAAAACAAAGCCTTCTGAGAAGATGCACTTGGCAGTGGTAGCCTGTGGTGAAAGGCTGGAGGAGACTGTTACAATGTTGAGATCAGCCATTATTTTCAGCATTAAACCTCTACAATTTCATATTTTTGCAGAAGACACATTGCATAGTGACTTCAAAGGAAAGGTAAATATTGAGAGAATCAACTCATTTTAAGTACTAATATGATTGGTTAAGTTTTATAGTGATCTTTTAATTACTAACATGAGTGCTTAAAAGGTAACTTTCCTTATTTGCTGTCAGACTTTCTCACCCCCTACATGTTTGGGCTAATAGAATCAAACTGCTGCCTGGGTGTGCAATTGGTGAAAAGCGGTTGCTTACTTTTATTACCTAACTGGGATATGATACATCTTTCGTGAGCAAAAGCACCTGCCTCACGTCTTCAGTTGCCAGACTCAGGCAAGCATGATGAGTCTGTGAGTTCTGGAGCTGCTGAGGCAGACAGTTGTGCAGCTCTCCCTGGCCCTTTGCCAACCCCAAAGCTGAGTCTGTCCCTTGTGCAAGTCAGGCCACAGGAGCATTCCAGCAAGCTCCCCCATCCAATCCTTTTGTGCTGCACTGTAGGAAAGAGATTACATTTTCCTCAAACATAAAGCGCACAAGCAATGTGTTAGGGACAACCATTGTATGTTCTTATGCTCTCTGCCCTATGGAAAAGAGGAACAAAACAAGCAAGATCCTTTTCCAATTTAAGTCTGTGGTGCTTAGTGTTCTCATTCACTTTCGTGTAGAAGTTCTGAATGAGCAAAAGAAAAGAAACAGCCAAATGATTCCTGGAGGAAACTGCCATTACTTTCCAAAGTACAGTAATTTATGAGGTCAGGGTATTTCCATCTTTGACTGTTACATTTAGTTTATCTTTCTTTTATTATTTTTCTCTGTCTTGCCTGCATTTATCATATATTGCAAGGCCTTTTCTGTTGTGGCACCCTGCTTGTGGAATGAACTTCCCAGAATTGCTTATCTAGTTCCTTTTTGTAAGAAAAGTAAGTGATCAGAATAGTATGACTCAGGTTTCTGCTAACCCAGTTAAGCCAGTCATTTCAATCATGGAAATGTATCGGTCATTTACTGAAAATAAGAAAAGACAAAACCATTTCACAAACATTTCTGGAAGGGTGTTTACTGATTTCAGTATCTCAGGTCTTATTTTGTTTTCAAGAATTTTGGGGTTTATTATGTTTTTTTCAAACTTTTGGCAAGAAACCATATACTCTTTCCCTGAAGCATTTAGTCCTTCAGCAAACCCCCCTACCAAAACCTGGTTTTATATTTAACCTGCATATTAGTGATTATATAATAATCAATAAAAAGGTCTTGTTTGTTTGTTTATTTGATTTATAGTCTGCTTTTCCACCAAGAAATTCATAATCAAGGCAGGTTGAAGGAAAAGGAAAGGGGAGGCATTCATCGAAACACTTGGGTTTTATTATGCCCATGATTTCTAGTATTGTTTATTGCAGTAACAAATATTTAAATGATTTTACCATGTTTAAAAACTGTCACTACTGTTTAGCCAGAGTAGGAACTATGAACTGATGGAAACTGTTTCTGTATGAACTGAGATTGCTTTGAGATGTGGGGTGTCAATCTAGTTTGAGAGTTAGTTGTTTATCATGTTTCTTATTTTTATTATGAAATATATTTAATATAACTTATATTTCTTTAAATAATATTTAAATAATACAACAGTACATTCGTATTTTTCTGCAGCTCAATAGTTTGGCGTATCAAGAAAAATTTAATTACACATTATATCCCATCTCATTTCCAACTGAGAATGCAGGAGAATGGAAGAAACTGTTCAAGCCCTGTGCTTCTCAAAGGCTTTTCTTGCCAGTAAGTGGTAGTAGTAATAGCAAAATGTGCAATTTTTATGTTTTAAATAATTTTAGCTTAATTGGTTAAACATCAGTCTTTCCAAAAGCAGCTATTTAGTTTGTTTGGGAAGGAAGTTTAGGCTTTTAGCCTAAAAGGAAGCCATGCTGAATGCAGATTTCATCTCTTCATATCAGTTGAAATGGGGAAGGATGTGTGAGTATGTGGACCTTTGGACATGGAAGAGGCAAAATAACAGGGAATGTATGCATGCAAAAATGTAGCAAATAAAAGCAGGGAATCTATACATGCTTTGTATGTTGAACTACAGGGAGCTCAGTAAATAGTAATAACAATGGAGCAGGTATGTTGTGTTTTCTACTACGTAGCCATACTTCTTTCACTTAAAACTGAAAAAATCTTAATAATGTCTTCTTTCCATATAACATTGACAGCAAATGTTTACTGGGTTATTTAGAATTGTGTACTTCTCTGGTTCTACTAGGAGCCCTTAGTAGCTTCCAAAATTAAAAGCAATAAAATGGAAAAGTGATAAAATGTTAAACAATATAAAAACACTAAAATATCGAAAATGATCTCAAAATGCCAAAACTTAATTTAACATAAAAGAGCCTTGTTTCCATTATAGATGGCACTGATTTTTTGTCCATAGTGAGTCATCATTTCATACTGTTTTTATGGTAAGCTGTTATTGTTTTATGCTGCAAGGTCTATTCATACATGTGAAAAATGGTTAATTAAAGAATGTTTGTTTAGCAACAGTGAGAGATATATATTGAATTTTCGCAATAGTTCAAGATGAATTGCACAATTAGCATTCGATCTAAAATTTGTTTCCAAAACTTCTTTTCCTTTACAGTTAATTCTCAGTGATGTGGATTCCCTACTGTATGTTGACACAGACATCCTGTTCTTAAGACCTGTTGATGATATCTGGGCTATCCTGAAAAAATTTAATTCTACCCAAATTGCTGCAATGGCGCCAGAACATGAAGAGCCTCGTATTGGGTGGTATAATCGCTTTGCAAGGCACCCATATTATGGAAAAACTGGAATAAATTCTGGTGTAATGTTAATGAATATGACCCGCATAAGAAGAAAGTATTTCAAGGTAGGAATCGGCCTGCTTTTCACATTTTCAGATAAACTGCTTTTTTGTCCTTCATGGGTGTGCTACTTAGTTTCTTCCTTTTATTTATTTCTAGTTTATTCATTTCTTACCTTGGTAGAAAGTGACACTTGTTCCTTATTGTATAACATCCTCCTAAATAAATAATAGACACAGTAAATGGTATTTGTAGGATGAGTGTGTATACCAACCTAACCAGAAGGTGGTGCTACTAGATTATCTACTAAAAGTGTACAATTTGTATAAGGTACTACTTTAGTATGTATAGCTCTTTGGTCACTTGCTTAATCAGTGCACATAAGCTGTAAGCAACATTTAAATTACAATAATTACATTTATATTCCATAATAAACTGCAGTATTTGAAAAATTGAAATTATTAAAAGAATAATATTCTGCCTCTGCACTAAGTGGAACTGATGGTATATATGCAATTTTACACAGATTTTTGGAGCATGTAGGTATATTCATAGGCTACAATTAAATGGTGATTAATGGATATTAGTGGGCATGGTTTGTCTTACTATGTAATAGACTTTTTTGAAATCATGCATTCCAAATGCATAACATTTAGTACAATGTTTTGGACCTTGCTACATTTAAAATAAGCCTGAAGTCCCAGATCTACCAGTTATTTCTTTGATATAAAATATGAATTATTATTTTTATTTTGGTCATATGGAAAGCAGAAGAGCTCTCCTCCTTTCTGCCTAGCATGTCTTCCCTGGGCACCTGGGACCAGAGCATTTTTGGGAAGGGGAAAGGATTAGGGTGGCTGAAAAGCAGAGCTGTCTCTTACTTAGCAAAACCTCACTGGGGAAAAAGGAGCAGCTGTCCTGCTAATCTTGCAGACTGGGAAAGGCATGGGAAACAACAGGAAAGAGAGGGATGGGTGACTGACGAAGAGAGAAAGAATATTGGTGAAGTGATCCATAGAGAGAGAGTGTGTGCGCACACGCGCGTGTGTGTGCACTCCTTAGGGGTGGAGTCTGAGTCAGAGTGAGAAAGAGAGTATTTTGGAGAAGATGGGGAATTCAGAGAAAAATGAGTAACTGAGGTGAATTGAACTTGTTTTCTGAGAGTATGGGATTGGTGACAGAAAGTACGTGTGGAGGATGAGGAGAATCCTGAGCAAGAGAAAGAGCTGTGGGTTCAAGCAGTGGGATTAAGATTTGCGATTAGCCCCCCCTTCCCCCCCGGCAAGGTATTCCATTTGCTGGGATAGCTAAGTCTTCCTTTAGTATCTGGTTGGCCATGCCACCAAAGTGGCCATTCTGTGAATCCACTTTGTGACAACACCCATGAAAATTTCTAAAGATTCTAAATGTTTCCACTGGCCCAGAAATTTTGACAAGCCTGTTCCCAAATACAGTAGTACCTTGGCTCACAAACTTAATCCATTCCACGACTCTGGTTGTGACCCAAATTGGTTGTGACCCAAGTCAAGTTTCCCCATAAGGTTCAATGTAAATAAGGTTAATCCATTCTGTAACTAGTTTTTTTTTAATCAGAAATTTTGAAACAAAGTGACAAAGAACAACAAAGTAACAAAGTACTGTACGGTGCAATGGAGAACACTGACCTTGGTGAGGGGGGGAGATTATTGTTTTGAGGGAGAGTCCCTCTTCATAAGGACACTGGGGAGATCTCTTTCAGGGGTTCCTCTCTTCTTTGCCTCTTAGCTGCAGGGTCAATTTTGGTGAAAAATCTGTCTATAGTCACTTGTTTTTTCTTGCGCTGCATAACCCTCCGGAAATGAGAGACCACATTATTGTTCATCAGATTCAACACTCTGTTTGTTACATTTATGTTGGGGTGGTGCTTCTCAAAGAAACCCTGGCATGGATGCACTCCTGCAGGAAAGATGGGCGCAATCTCGGCCATCTCCTCCCCCCTCCAGCCAGCACGATTGTGGCCATCTCCCCCCTCCCCCCGACTGGCCAGGATCACAGTTGCATTCATGCAGGGAAGATGTGTGTGATCACAGGTGCGCTCCTGCAGGAAAGACAGGCGCAGCACAGCACTGCCGTGATCACGCATGTGTTCCCTGCACGGACACGACTGCGATCGTGGCCATCTCCCCATTCAGGGGGATGGGGAGATGGCTGCGATCTTGGTTGCCACCCAAAGCAGAGTTCATGACCCAAGTCAAAATTGTCATGAAATTTTTGTTCGTGACCTAAGGCGTTCGTGATCCAAGGTGTTCATGAGCCAAGGTACCATTGAAAAAGTGATGAACTTCGTTTTTCCCTTTTTGCCTCAGTTGCAATTGTAATTTATAGCTTTTGCAATTTTGTGTCTACAGTGGAGTACCGGAAAAATCCACTGACCTCTTCAGTTCCAGAAAAAAGCAGTTGTGCTAAATCTCTGATGCGCAAGCATATATGCTTATATGGTGGAATTGGCAGGGCTTTGTCCACTCATACTCAGAACAGAAGCATCCATGCATCCCTCTCATGGAAGTGCAAGATTGAATACTGCCCCATGTATGCTTTTTTGTGGTATAAAAGATTTACAGTTGATTCCTCACAAATGTCCTAATGTTGATCTTATGTCTTTGATTTTAAAGAATGATATGACAACTGTACGATTACGATGGGAAGAAATTCTCATGCCATTGCTGAAAAAATATAAGTTGAATATCACATGGGGTGATCAGGATCTTCTGAACATTATGTTTTTTCATAATCCAGGTAAACTGTTTTTTTTTGTTTAGAATACCACTTCAATAACACATCGTAAGATGCTGTTGCTTTTTTGTGTCTCAAAATGTATTTTAAAAAATGATTTTTATACATTCGTTCCATTTATGCACTTACCAGTTTTCAGCCTGACTAAATCACCACATTCTAACTTGGCTGAGTTTTGTTAGCCTTCATAGGATGATTGCCAGTCTGATTAATCTTATGGATACTGTAGATATGGCAATTTGTGAAGATTGTATGTGATCAGTTTAATTATAGAGTGACAACAATACCAAAAAGAAATTGGCAGTAATTACAAGTTTGCATATAATCACTGTGGTACGTGTGTGTGTGTTTTTTTTTCTGCACAGAAAGTCTTTTTGTTTTCCCTTGCCAATGGAACTATCGCCCAGATCACTGTATTTATGGAAGCAATTGCCAGGAGGCTGAAAAGGAAGGCATATTCGTCCTTCATGGAAACAGAGGTGTTTACCATGATGATAAACAACCAGCATTTCGAGCTTTGTATGACGCAATTAAAAACGTAAGCTTTTGAATCCCTAATTTCAGCAATGAAATAACATCTTTATTAATACAAACCTAGGATGTAGAACAATTATTAAAAATCCCATTCCATTCTTTTTATATATCATTCTTTTAGGGCATGGGGGAGGTATCTGCAACCCTTCAGATTTGGAGGATGATAGGCATCCTATCAAGAGTGGGAAATGCATAGAGGTGAAGACTGCCCCTATGCTTCTCCTGCTTTGCAAAAAGCGGTCATCTGAGTCTTTAGCCCCTGCTTGTCACAGCCTCACTCCTCTGTCCTGTCCTTCCCTCCCTTACCCCCTCACCAGCTTTCCAGCACTACCTTCATGGTCAGTCTTGTGACTTCAGAGTTTCAGCCTTCATGGAAAGAATTGCACTGGCTGCGAAGTCATGGGGAGAGTACTCTCAATTTGAAGTCCCAGCTGCAATCCCAGAGTGCATTTCTGAGGGTGAAGTTGTAATGCAAAATTTTCCTGTGGCCAGTCCATGCCTACGTTCCACAGGATTGTGTCCTTAACTTCTGAAATATTTTTTGCAAATGAACAGGCCTTCTACAACATTTATGAGTTATTCATTTTTATTTATTTATTTAGAACATTTATATCCCATTCTATACAACCAATCGTCTCAGGATGGCTTACAGTTAATACATGAAGTGTAAATTACAAAAACTATATTCTGAAGTTTCAGGAAGCACTGCACATAAATGATTTTACGAGGGGTAATGCCTAAGAACAGCATCAGCATATATTGTTAGATCAGGGAAGTGAAGCTGTGCAGATACTGAAGTTTACCACGTATAAACGATTTGGATGCAGAAAGGTTCAAACACATACTGGTTTCCATTATCAGATGGAGGGGTGGACAGAGGGAAGAATTAATTATATTCATAGTCCTCAGTGCTCTATCATTTTGCCACAATCCTGAATGGATTTAAGCTTGTTTAAATTTAAAGTTCAATGTGATGAAGCATACAACTTTTACTCAGGAACAGTATCCTGAGCACTAAGACAGCTTTCCCCAATCTGGTGCCCTCCACACATTTTGGGCTGCAACTCTCAGGATTCCTGACTATTGACCATGCTGGCAGGGACTGAACAGAAGCTAAGTCCAAGACATGTAGAGGGCTCTGTGTTGAACTCCAACATGGTATAATGGACAAAACAGGGACAGACATAAGTGTTGTGACCATCCCTACATTCCCTTTTTGTTGCTGAAATTAGCAAGTAATGCTTGGATGCGGAAAGTTTATTTATACCTAACTTAATTCCTGCCTCATATTTGTATAATTTAGTTACATTAATTTGTGTGGTTTATAAATGTACATACAGGTCTTTCACACAAGGCAGGAATGTTCAGCTTTTGTGTTCTGCAAATAAGGCTTCTAATAAGCTATTAGTATTTCAGCTTACTCACTGAAGAGCTGTAAAATGCAGCAGTGTTGCTTATTTTAATGTTCATCCTATCTTGTGTATAACCTTCAAAGATCAATAGTATATTTTAATGGTGCTTTGTTGCAAGTTGTCATGTGAGTATAAAAATGAAGAAAAGTACTGTTGGGGGCCTTAGAATGCACTACATCGAAAGAAAATGTGGCCTCATAAAAACACAATTTCTTTGTTCCTTTGAGTATTGCCAGAAAATATTAAGAAAAGGAAATCTCTCAGCTTTATTTATGATCAGTTTTTGTTTATGCAGAAGGCACAGAAAAGATGTAGATCAATACTGACCTAATGCCAGCAAGATTACCAAAATCATTTTATTTTGAAATGTTGGGTTTGCATATCACTTGTGTTTTAATACAGTAAAATAACCTGTAACTCTGGATTAATGACTTTTTCTACTTTAGGTTTCCATTAAATACTGTGTGTGCTTGTTCATAATTCAGTTTAATGAAAGTGCCCCATCTTTAATGGTACTATAGATTACTCTTTTTGTACTGTTTCAACTCAATAAGCGCCATATATTATTTTAAAGAATGGCATACTGAGATAATTATACACTTTTCAGGCCAAAACTACAATATGGCAGGCATGTGCTCATGTAAATTAACCCATTAATTTACGTGTCTGACACTTATTTTCAGATTTGTTTGCCTGAATGTTGATGTTGATTTTTAAAGGGTTTTTTTCCCTTAGGCTAAACAGTTTTGCATTTATTTAAGTTGACAGTAATTGGATGTTTTGAGTAATCAAAATATATTGCAAACTTGCCAGAGTAGGACTTTATGTATTGTACTCTGTATTAAGAATATTACCAAGTTTTTCTTGCAGCTTGTCTTTGTATTACCCATACCTAGAAGGAGACCTTAATAGACTGAATTTTTAGTTGAACAAAGGAGCACAGTGTCAGACTGGTTTCAAAAAAAGTAGATCTGTTGGAGTAGCATTCCTAATATAGTATTTCTGATTTACTCTTCCAGTATTCATTTGGTGATGACCTGGTAAAGGCCTTGCTGCTACCCCTTGAACTGGAACTACAAAAGACACAGCATACTTACTGTGGAAGAATATACAAAGTGTTTATAAAGCAGCTATCAAAAAGCATAAAAGATATTTATGATAGACGATCTAAGGGAAGGTGATCATTACAGGCTTCCCAAACTTCTGAATTAAATAAGACAGATGTGGGAGAATATATGCCTGTAGGATATTCATAAAAGAAATGCCATATTTTTGGAATCAGTTCTTCTATTCCCAAATGAATCTCCCAGTGTGGACAAAATGAAGAAGCTGTTCATCTTGAAGAATTCTTTGCCAGCATATTGCAGAGAATGTTTGAAGTTCAGTTAGTGTACATTTTCACTACAGTGAATAAGTCTTCCAGGATTTTGTATTCAGGTTTATTTTACATAATTCACTTGCTTGTCATTCTCAAATGAGTCAGATAAAAATGAAGGTCTTTATACTTCAGGAATGATGGTATACTTTGTCATACCTAGTCTCAAATTCTGCTAAACTGTGAATGTAGCACTAATGGAGTCAGCACTAACCTCACTTTAAGAGTGTGAGAATATGTTGTTTACAAAGCTCAGAAGTAATTTTATTTTCAAAGGAATGTGATGTGACTGATGGCAGTCTATGTGTGCCTTTGTTTTCATCTCCTTCAGTTTTAAGATATTTTGACAATCACATACATATATGTATATGTGTGTACGTATATATAGATATATATATACTGTAAACTGCACATGATATCCATAGGACTTCCAGTCCAAACAATAACACCTAGTAGAAATAAACCTAATTTTCCTCGGTTTCCTCATAAATTGCTATAAACAGAAAGCTGGGAACTAAAGAGGACCCTAGGCATAGTAAGGAACTTGACTTAGGGCATGGGTTTTCTCACTTTCTCTGGTCCAGGCCTTTGAACAACAGGACCTCTTGAGTTTGGAAATCCCAGCTGTACCAGAAGCAGTCTGCCATATGCCATGGATGGGGGCTTTGGCTTATGAAGAACCAATCCCAAAAACTCTTAGGTGCATAGAACTAGTGGTGGGTTTCTTTGAGTCCTGGCCAGTATTATAGCATAGTTAAATGATATGGCTGGATTTTTTTTAACTAAGGTGGAATGTGATATATACATACTATCAATGTTGTTTTCGCTAAATTTGAATAAGGTTTTTATATGATTTCACCAGGCATTCTGAAAGGAAAAACCATGTTGTGAAATATAATGTAGTTTATTATGAAGTATTATACTAGTATCTGAATCCTAATAGCTAAAGTCTACTTCGTTCTTATTCACCAAAATCCACCTAATCTTAAAGTAATTCTGCGTGGATCATTTTTTTGCAGGTGTTGTTTAGCAAATACTTAATGTGTATTTGGCAAAAAAGCGCCTTAAACCATTTGGATAGAATATTGTTTCAAACCTCTGATTTCCATGGGACCATTGTGTTTGTTCCATTATATGGCACACTGAGTATAATGCTTGCTCTAATAATAGTAATTCCTGCAGTATATTTTATTGCATAAAATACTATCTCTATTATAATACTTGAGTCGATACTTGAGTTCTAATTATACATGTAGTGGGATGAAACTGGTAATACTCAAGTGTTTCTGCAGTTTGTCCAACTGGATCCTGCTTTCTTAGTATTTTCCATGGGTTGACATATCAGTACCTCAGCAGCAGTCATTCACAGTTGTTGTAGATTATGAACTAAAGAAATGCAGTGCACCGTTTATTATCTTTGCTGTTAGTGTTGTGAGCCAAGGTTCCTCCTTTGAACAATCACCAATCGTAGGCTGTTTTCCTTGCCAAAAAGTTCTTTATTGCTTCCAAATACAAATCACCCTGAATGGATCTCTGAGCATGCATGGAGCAGTTTGTTGAACTCAGTCCAGAACTCAGATTATCTCCAGGAACTCTCCTTATGAACATGTCTGGGGCCCAGCCTTTCATGAGGGGCTCATTGAAGGCAAGCACATCTCCTCTTCACACACTGCTCATTCAATTGGGCCTTGTCTCTGTTGACACCTTGCCATGGGGTCAAATGCTGGGGTGTGTGGGGGGATCTGCCCTGTGTCTGAGAATTCCCAGCAGCCCTTCCCATTTGCCATGCAGCTTGGCCATTCCCAAGAACTGCTCGGCATGGAGAAGCATCTGGCCTTGAAATAATCACTTCCTCCTGTTGCATCTTGAGCTAACTTCTGTTCCTCAGTCTCACTGAAGCACTCTTCAGTTTCCATTTCTGAAGCAGTGTCTGGAATGCGGTCAGTGATCTGTGGGAAAGCTCGTCCAAGCCTGCCATCCCTCTTGCTTCCAACATTAGTCCATAACACAGGCAACATTTGGAAAGGGACCTATCTGTAAGCAGCAAGATGTGCCACCACTGCAAAATGTGGCAGTGTATCCTGTTTATCCTCTTCAGGGTTCCAACCAGCCATTCTCTCTGAGCAAGGCATTCCATTCATCCATCATAGTTTTCATTCCAAGGGGCATTCAGCATTTTATGACTTGGTCTTTGGATAGTTGTCTCCCTTCAGATTTTATATAATACTTGCACAAACCTTGGGCTTTCCCTGATCATGCTGATACCTTTCTCTTTTTTCTTGGTGACCTTGTTTTGGCTCTAAACTTGTCTGCTGTCACCACCTGAGTTTTCTATTAGATGGATGATAATCAACTGGTGAGTGATAAATGTATGTTCATATTTAACTTGACAAAAGCTTGTGTGATCCAACCTTAAATATTGTATAATCATCAACTGGACACAAAGCTTGCTTTGCAACTTTATCAATATCTCAATAGTCAGTTATCAGTTCCATCAACCAATTTTTGGAATGTTGTTAGTGTACTAGTACACGGAAAGTAAACTATATTCTTTGGAAGCTTGCTTACTGAAAGGTGTTACTTTATCTGCTCTATGATTTGCTCCTGAAAATATAGATTGCAGGGTCCAGTTAAGTACAATGATCTTTAATGTGTGTTTTGCAGCTTGCCAGAAGAAAAGCTCATTTTAACATCAGAAAGTGGATATAGATGAGATTAAAATTTTTAAGAAGTCATACTGTTATTTTAGATAAATATAATGTATATATTTGTGTTAGAAAATAAGCAGAATTGAACACCTGCTGACATCCATGTAAAGTTATAACTATTTTTACATAAACTGTTTTGTATTTCTCTGTTTCTTGGGTCTTCTTTTAATATCTTACTAGTGATTTCATGCATCTGACATTTGCTTCATAACCTCAAGGTATTTCAAATTCCTCTTGCTCTAAAGGTCTGACCAACCAGACATAAATCCCACCCTCACCACTGGCTATGTTTGCTACGTAAGTATGATGGAAATTTTAGGCCACAAATTACCCACTCCTAACTTGAAGGATTTTTTTAGCCAGATTTAAATATATTCAATGTATTGTTACTCTATACACCCATGGGAGCCCATTGAATTGTCAACATTTCTGTAAGGAAAACTAAGCACTGAAAGTTTTATTTTGAAGAATTGCATGGATATACATATATGACAATATCTTGGACTTTATGCACTGCTATACTATGAGATGATTCTTATACTACAGTGTAAAGTATAGTCTTGCAAAAAAGCAGAATCAAAGGCAAAGTGGAGAGAACTGAGTTATTAAGCACACATTTACACAATTAGATTCAATCTTGTACCAGATTGGAGTTAGAAATCTAGGGTCTGGTAATCTCTAGATTACTGCAATGCACTCTATGTGGGAGTGCCCTTCAAGACTGTTCAAAAGCTGCAACTCATACAGAACATGGCAGCCAAATTAATAACTGGAACCTGTAGGTCTGAGCACAAGACCTATTCTGGTCCACCCACATTGGTTACCAGGCTCAATTAAAGGTACTGGGTTTAACCAAAAGATGACATGGCTTAGAACCCCCACACTTGGCAAAGCGTCTCTGCCAGCCTTGCTCAATCCAGATATTATGCTCAACCTCTGGGCCCTTCCTTTGAGTGCCAACACAGATAATCTCAGGGGTTGGCCACAAGGGAGAGCTATTCTCTGTTGTCTCATCTATGGAAAAGTCTCCCCACTGTGGCCCACCTGGTACCCAGCATGTCATGTTTTTGGCACCAGCTTAAAATGTCTTTTTTTGCTGAGATCTTTAAAGAATTGTTAGGATACCCAGTAACTTGAGGTGATTACCCCTCCCAGGCATTCTTACAGAGTCATTCATTGTTGTTTGTTTCAGTTGTTTAAAACTGTTGATAGGATATTTTCTTTTTTGTTTCATGGATTGCAGTGAACCACCAGGAGAGATGTGGCTATGAAGTGGTATAGAAATGAAATGAAATAAGTTTACCAGACTCTCCCTTTAAAATACAGAAATAAACCCCAAGGTTCTCCAAGTGAACAATCCAGTAGTACCAATTAAACCTCACTATGAAGGCAGAAAGCCAGAAAGGGTGTGTGGACTATCCAATATATTGCATTGGGTGCCACATGTATGATTTTCTGCCACTTGGGTGCACTTGGTAAATGAGTTCCTGGGTCTAGGGAATATGTTCTCTTGAAGCCAAAGTTGCTGAGCTGGTAGTGCAAAGAGAAGCACAGAGGAGGACAGGCAAGACCATCAGGGATCACATTCCTTGATAGCAGCTGCTTTACTGTCATGGAAAATGGGGGTCTCATTCTGAGGGAGAAGGAGATGAGCCCTTAGAAGGGACCCATTGCATGGAAGGTGAGCCTTTTTTCCCTCACACCAAGGATGTGCATCCAGGGTGGAGGACTTCTGCTAGTAGAAGATAGGATCAGTAGATACATAAATAGCTGAGTGTGGAATGACTGTGCAGACCACAGGATGAATTGCCTACCTGTGGGGACTTTGTTGTCTAGACATGCTGTCTAGATAGTTTTGTAGACCAAGTGGGGTGAGGCAGTGGTTGTCCCTGTGATGTGGGGAAAGGCCATTGTGAGGTCCTGGGAACAATTCTGGAATATAGCGGACTATATGAGGCAAGTATTTCTTCTGTTAGTACATCTTTGAAAAGGGCCGAAGTTAAGATTCTCTATACCACCCAAATAATTGGCTGTCTAAATGAATATCAGTGTTGATACTGGAAATGAGAAACGATGAATGCAGATGTCTATGCTATGGAGTTGCTCCCATGTTCATAGTTACATAGTTGGCATTGCATAAAGTAAAAACAAAGACCAGTTTGAGATTTGATGCATAACAGTAGTAATGTAGGAAGGTCCTTATATGGATCAGATCATTGGTCTGCCTAGCTCAGTATTTTCTAAAGCAGCTCTTCAGAGTTTCAGGGATACATTTTTCCAGCCCTACCTGGAGATGATGGCAAGTGAATCTAAGACTTTCTGCATACAAAGCATGTACTCTTCTTGCTGAACCACAATCTGCCCAGTGCAGTGCTCCTCACTGCTCTCTCCACCCATTCCCTCCCACCCCACACACAATACTATATTTTATTTAGGTGCTTTCACAAGTAGGGAATGAGATATAAGGGAGGTGCAGTGGAATGGAGTATCCTGGAAGAGGGCATGACTGCTGGAACCTTTGGTACTTTGCTCATCAAGATAATCTAACAGATGGAAATGTCTAGCTCAGAATCCTTCAGTAGTTTCCCTGGAACAAAAAGCTACCAGTTGCAGTCACCTATTTTGCTGGTTTACATGCACCTTATCTGAAAATCAAATACTTGTATAAGTCCTAGGAATCCCAAAACAATAACATAGTTGCACTTGGCTGGCAGCAGCCACAGTTCTGTGCTGTCATAACCACAATAATCTCTGACATCTTGGCCAAAAAGTGCCACCTTCTGCAGTAATGGCTTGCTGCTCAGCTTCCTTCCCATCTACTGCCTGTCCTTTAGAAATGCTCCTGCATAAACATGAGTCTATTCAGCAAATCTAATTGTTCCTTCTTACCTGAAGATATATTTGTGCTTGTCCTAGAATATGTTCACTACTGAACTGGTGGAAGCATCTGGTGGAAGCATCTGTTGAGAGACAGTGTCAACTAACATAAATGCATCAACTGCTGGGGTTACTTTCAACGGATATGGAGTGAAGAAACACTAACACATCAGATTATTTTGACTCCATAAGGCCTCTCAGAATTGAAAGCCACTTGTGATGACTTGGGTGAACTTCTTCAGGACTTTTTTTTTTAAAGTTTCCATACAAGTTCTTGAATCTAGCTAAGCTTAGAAAGGTGCAACTGGCAACATGTGTGCTTGATCTTCACCCTTCAGGGCTTAAAACATCTAACTGAAGAAGTCTGTCCATGATGGTCCCATGCAGGGCAAACATGCAAACTGAATGTAGTCCAGTTTGTGTATATGGAGTGGCTGAATGCTGTATGGTACTGGCTTGTTTTCTATACAGGTAAAAAGATCATAAGTGCCACCAAGGAATTAAGGGCACAATCCTATGGCCTCCTGACATTCTGGAGACTGTATGAGAGGCCAGATGCCCAGCTCTGACCTTGGGAAAACACTCCAAGCTGACCTCAGAGGACCATCCACCCTTGCAGCCAGAACAGTTACAGGCAGCAATGTTGATTGGATGGTGCCCTACATTAAAGTATGTGTAGACAGTCTACTCCAAGACACCTTCTAAGACTGTGGTCTAGCTTTTTTGATCAGCAAAAGATTGCTAATAGGTCATTCTGACACACAGTATTTGACGAAAAGATAACCTTCCTCTATCCCACCCAACAGTTTTTAATTATTTGTAATATTCTGTGACTCTCTTCCATATAACTAAAATTATAAAAGCTAGATGAGATGTGCAATTGTACTGCATTTTCACTACCCTCATGTTCAGTTCTTGGGAGGTCAATTTGTGTCTCATTCTTCCTTTGGTTCATTAACATCATATCACCACATAATTATGGACTCCGCTACAAAGGATTCATTTTTTCTTTTATGTTCATCTCTTATGAATCTTAATGATCAGTCAGCCATTCATATACACATTTTAACTGAGCAATTCACGTTAAATCAATTTATATTGCTCATGTTAATTTTTTTTGGAAGAAATAATATATAGGAAGGTCCATGTAGAAATTCCCCTAAATTACAAAAACTCCGTGGTTAAATTCACAGGTCTTCAGAGTACCTTTTTTAAAACTTTCAGGAAAACAGAAGATATTTAATCAGTTTTTACGCCTAATTTGGGAGTGTAGGAAATTAAAAATTAATTAAGCTGGATGTTTTATCTTTATATCACTCTTCTATTACGCCTCTCTGAGCAGCTGTATCTAGAGACCAATGCTGCTTGAATGTTGTAATCTCAAAAAATGTCGAGCTACTGTGCAAAAGACAGCCGACTGCTCCCACGCCTTCATATTTCTTTTGCATATTGGGAATGTTGCCCCGCTACCACTCCAAGGTTAGCAGCATGCCGACTGAGAACCAACTGTATGTGAAAGAGGAGCTTGAGAACAATGTTCCTTCTTTATTAAAGGGTTCAATAGAGTTTTGTGTGGACATTTGCTGTGTGGACATTTTCATTAGCCATTTCAGTATGTTTGAAGCATGTTAATGTGCATTCGTTGTGGTCTCTGTGCATCACACATACAGGATTTGCAGTGTAGTGCAAAGCCTGGATTGAAGAGAAGTTTCCATAGCAAAACATCCCGAAGTGAGCAAGACCTCCCCCCGCGCACACACACACACCTCAGCCGTTCCAGGTCACGGGTTAAGACTGCTTCAATTTCTTTCCAACTGCACTAGTTCCTGCATCAGAGGTGGCCTTAGAATGGTAAACTTCTGTTAGACTGGACTTCCATCTGAGCAAAGACCAAAATGGGTTTTCAGGCAGAGATGTGATGTACTGGCACTCATAGCCAACAAAGTGACAATAGCAATCCACATGCTCATTTCAGTGACTTGAAGACTAAACACTGGAAGAACATTCTGAATTGTAGCTATCCAACCCCCACTCCCAATTTAAATTTATGATAAAATCAGGAGTAGTTTGAGAACACTTGATTGAATTTCCTTTTCCAAGATTGTGTGTCCTCTCTCACTGGGTATAGAATTAGAGGGCTGGATCCAGACTTGGCAGTAAAGCCATGGCAAACTTTGGCTCTGCTGATTTCAATAGACCTACTTTAAGTCTTGAGCCAAGCCTTCACAAACAGAGAGACACAAAGGAGCTAGAGAGAGAGAGAGAAGGAAAG